ATCTTGATTCTTGTAATCTGTTTTATTGGAAAAGCTTGAACTTTACTGTGTACGTTGAGTATGATAGTATTGATCATCATATTGTGTATTTACTAGTTACTATTTATGTATCATTTGGATCTACTCTTATAGTTCTGATGAAGTTATTGTTGTTCTTGCACTTTGAAGATTTTGGACAGAGGTGGAACAATATGAAGAGTAAAATAAGGATTAAACAGCCGAGAAGAGGTGGATTTAGGTGGGATTTGGAGCAGATAATGAAGTGTTGATGCACTGGAGAGCAATTAAGAGTAGGAAAAATGATACCCTCATCAGAATCCCTTGCTGCCAATGATTATTCGCCAGAGTGTTTTTTCTTCTAAAGTTGATGTTGCTGAGAAAAAGCCAGAGACAAGGAATATACAAGAAGCTGAATTGTTTCTGCGTGAAACTAGTTCACTTAATTATGAGGTCTGCTTCTCAATATTTTCAGCTTTCAAGTTGATATCTGGAGCGATTTTGTTCATCATTGTCGTTGCAATCAAGTTCAGTAAAAATATGCCAATATAGAGAAGCTAATGTTTATTCTGCTATGGTTTAGGAGTAGAGTAATTATTTTAACTTTAAATTTCGTATCTTTTTCTCTTTGACAGTATTAAATACAAAAATTGTGCAGATTCTATTTGGTCATGTTTTTCTCAGTAAAGCTAGAAGTTGTCCATTTTTAAAAGGCATTTTGATGAGTAACCGGTTAACCTTTATATAATAAGGTCTTTTTTTCCCTTTTATCCACATTGTATTATTTCCAGAGTGTTGCTCCTTACATTAATAGACCATTTTTAACTTTTCACGGCACCTTTCACCTGTGGCTGCTAACTCACCCTCTCTCTCGCCAATGTTGCCTGTGTGAAAGTGATCATAGTATGTGTGTCTGAAATTTGTGTTGTCTTTTATTTTCTAGTAGCATACTCATACCTGCCTTTGCCACTATTTTTTTGCCCCCTAATTAGTCTGTAGTATCGAAATTAGTTGCAGTAGTTCTTTGAACACTTTTATTTGTTTACTTTCTGGCTAAGGTATCTGCAATTTGCAGGAAGCTAGAGCATTGCTAGGAAGAATTGAATATCAGAAAGGAAATATAGAAGCTGCACTACATGTGTTTGAAGGGATAGATATCGCGGGAATAACTCCCAAAATGAAACTCACCCTTGCTAAAAGAGTCGATCGACGTAATAGGCGATCTAATGACCATGCTTCTCCACCAATGTCTATCCATGCTGTTAGTTTACTACTAGAAGCAATCTTTCTCAAAGAAAAATCATTGCAGCATCTCCAGAGGGTTCTCATATCAACTCTTTAATTGTATGGATTAAGAAAGCTACGCTTGAGTTCTGTGTTTGACTTGCACTTATTTTTACCTAAAAACTGCTATGTTATTCTAGCTTTTCTCTCTATATATGTACATATATTATTTTTATGTTCCAGCTTCTTTGCTATTTGCATGTGGCTTTTCAAGTTTGTTTCCGTGGAGCTCATTGTTATCAATGCCCTTACTGTTTCTCATCTTCGTGATACTCTTTCTGTGGTAAATGACAATTCCGTCATCACTGCATAGCTAATGTATAGTTCCAATCGTTCTTGCAGATGCCGCTCAAAGTTGTACAATCATTCTGGACATAGTTGAATCTTCTTTACCAGAAGGCTTTCCTGAAAACTTTGATGCTGACTGTAAATTGCAGGAGACTATAATCAAGGCAGTTGAACTGCTACCAGAATTATGGAAATTTGGTGATTCCCCACATGAAGCAATCTTGTCCTACCGGCGGGCGCTCCTCCATCAGTGGAATCTTGATGCGGAAACTACTGCAAGGATTCAGAAACAGTTTGCTATTTTTCTTCTGTATTGTGGAAGTGAAGCAAGCCCCACAAACCTCTTCAGCCAAATGGACAGTTCGTTTGTCCCTAGGAATAACATAGAGGAAGCTTTACTCCTGTTAATGATACTATTAAGAGAAGTTTCTTTGAAAAGAATCGGATGGGATCCATCAATTTTGGATCATCTGTCATTTGCTCTCTCCATGTGTGGGCCGTGTGGATTTGAAAGCTTTGGCTAATCAAATAGAAGAACTGCTTCCAGGGGTTATTAATCGCAAAGAAAGATACAAATACCTAGCTCTCTGTTATTACGGAGCAGGTGAGGGTTTGGTTTCTTTGAATATAGTGCGGAAATTGTTGCATGGCAGTGAGGATCCACACTGTGTTCCAGCATTGTTAATGGCATCAAGAATTTGTGGGGAAAAACCTAATCTTGCAGAAGAAGGGATTAATTTTGCTCATAGGGCCCTTGAAAGCCTTGATGACGAATGCATTGAGTTGGAAGGTACTTGTAACCTTTTATTGGGTGTGTCTCAATCGACACATTCAAAATCAGCTTCATCCGAATCTGAGAGGATTTCCAGACAGTCTGAGGCCCTTCAGTCCCTGGAAAGTGCATGGAAAATTATGAGAATGAAAGACCCAAATGTTCTTTCTCATCTCAGCCTAGAAAATGCAGAGGGGAGAAAGTTGGAAGTTGCGCTTTATTATGCAAAGCTTTTACTAAAACTAGAAGGAGTTTCTAACATCAAGGTGTGGTTGTTTGCTCGCATATTATCAGCTCAAAAACGTTTTGTGGATGGTGAAACCGTTCTCAATGTTGCCTTGTATCAAACCGGAAAATGGGATCAGGGAGAATTATTGTGCACCAAAGCTAAGCTTCAAATTGCAGAGGGACAGTTCAAAAGCGCTATTGAGACATATAGTCAGCTTCTTGCAGTTGTTCAAGTGCAGAGTAAAAGTTTTGGTTTTGGCAAAAGGCTTCATAAGGTCCGTTGTTTAGTTCTTCCTATCGACCTCCTATCGACCTATAATTTTATGATTTCTATCATTTTGGAGGAATCTGAAAAGGTTCTCCTACTAAGTTGGCTTCAGATGCATCCGTTTTTTAAATGAGATAGGTAGATAAGTTAGAAGGTAGGTTTTCAGAAATGATTGTCGACGATCATTATTCTTACTGGTTCATGTTTGACCACGTGACTTGCCGACACTTGGATCTGTGTATGATAAAAGATTGAGGCTTATTAAAATTAGAATTTTAGGGTGATAAATAGCCTTTTATTGCATGGATGAAGGAAACTATGGTTTGCCAGTTTTGAAAGTTATTACATCCTTTTAAACTTAACAGAAGCTCTCTCTGTCCTTGGAATATTAAAAAGTGCCTATAATGCTCTTTCTTCATGTCGAAAGCGGCTTATCTTTTTCAATAATTTTTTACTGGATCGTTCGTTGAAAAATTTTGAACTGGAGATATGGCATGATCTAGCTTGTCTCTGCATAAGCTTGTCACAGTATCGAGATGCTGAGATTTGTCTTTCGAAATTGAAGGCCATCAATTCCTACTCTGCTGCTAGAAATCATGCCACTGGTAAGTTCATTCTTCCCTTAGTTAATGTTAGTCACTATACAGTCCTTGAATGAGTGCTTCTAGCGGGCGATGTCATAGATGTATCAACACTATTCTCATTTCATAAGACGATCCTTTTTTTGTATTTTCCAATTCTCAATCGAGTTAAAAAGCTTCTTCCGGGAAGAGCCTTGGTTGATTACCTAGTTGAATAAAACATGTTATTTTGCAGGTTTACTTTACGAGCGAAAAGGCTTAATAAAACAAGCTTTGAAGGCTTATTGGAATGCTTTGGACATGGACCCGAATCATGCCCCGAGCTTGATATCTGCCGCTGTGTGATGAGACAAGTTTGCAGCCAATCCAGTGCAGTTTTGAAAAGCTTGCTGATGAATGCTCTCCGAGTTGATAGAATGAACCCGTCGACATGGTACAATCTCGCTCTGCTTCACAAAGATGAACACACTCCGTCATCACTATATGAAGCGACTGAATGCTTCGAGGCTGCTGGTGTTCTTTAAGACTCGGCGCCTATTGAGCCATTCAGATAACATAGTAATCCTCTGCCTGCCAATCTGATAGCAATATGATATAGTTGTTTTCTTCACTCCCTGATTTGATGGAGTTATAGTTCCACTGCAGCCCTGATTCTGCGGAAGATATTGTAGGACAATTATCTTATTTTTACAATAAATATTTCCTCAAAAGTTTATTTTCCTAAATAGATTCACGTGGATGTGGTGTGTAGGTTCACCTAAATTGATGGTAAAGCCATCCAATAAAGGTTTTGATCTTAAGTCATTCACAAGGTTGGTAGGTAGTATTTAATACATTTTAAACACGGTAACTCATTAAATAAAAGTTACTAAACACAGTGTATTTACCAATTTTAAACTATTTCTTTCAAATAAGGATCTTATATTACCCTAGTCGTTTCTAGCATCAGTTAGGACAATATTAGATATTGTATAAGAACAATTATATGTAAAATATAACGAAAACACACTAGAATAAGCTCATTGTGCTAATGAGCAACGGCATTGGCAACGCGATGAATATATTGGGTACATATATGGGCATCAAGAGACCACAAACAGTGTGTTTCATGCAAGTGAAAGTTTTCCACAGATAAATCAAGATTGGGGTGTTCAATTTTATTGTTAACTGGATACTAATTGTAATCATTTGTGTCTGTCACACTCGCATCATTTAACGTCGGAACATGCATTGCAAGCCTGAAAAAACTAAACTAGCAGAATCTCGAGCGACAACATTAACGTTGAATATCTATAATTCTAATTAATTGTTTTCATAATATAATAAAGATTAAATGATACGATCGATTAAATTAATATTTTTATATAGGTATAAGATGACATAAATATACTTAAAGGTTAATTTATTGTATATTTTTTTATTTTATACAATTGAGTTTAATTAAGACAGGAGGGGGACAATTTAAACAGACAAAACTCAAAAGCTTGAAGGAACGAAATTTAGGATTGTCTTAACGGATAGCGACGTATGTTCCCTTGTACCAGATACGTTATCGTCGGTTACCCATTTTCTCTCTCTCTCATTGCTTTTTTGAAAATCTAAAATCTTTTGCTTTGAAAAAATTTATTCCCCCTTTTAAAAAAATATATATATATAAATTTCTCTTGTGAACCTAAAAAGGGCATTGTTTATTTTTGTATCAATTTTGATTTTTGAGTCCTTTCACCGTAGCTAGATAGAGAGATGGAGAGTGGGAAAAGATCAGAAGCCGGGCCGTCAGTAGGTGTTAGTGAGAAGCAAGAAAGAGAACAAAGGGAAATGAATGAAAAATCATTGGCCGTTGAAGTTTGTGATGACCATGAAAAAAAAGAAGAAGAAGAAGATGATGATAAGGAAGATGGTGCTGAAACTTTGACTGGTTTTGTTCCTGGCCCTCTCCTTTCCCTCAAGGAACAGATAGAGAAAGACAAGGTCCTTTTTTTGTTTCAAATGATAGTCTGCTTCTTTTTCATTTCAATTTTTTTTTTTAGTTAAAACTCTTTCTTTGCCTTGAATTACTTGATGGGTACTTTCAAACTCTTCGAAAAAAGTTTGATTTTTTGTTTCTTCTCCCACCCCATTTTGGTGCTGTTTGGTAGGAAGGAAAATTAGGGGAAAAATGTATACTTTAATTTTTCTGAACTTAATGTAGTTTATAGGTTTTCCTATGTATACTTGCTCCAAGAAACGAGTTAGCCTCTTTTGATCTGGGATTGTTACATCTTGTAATCTAGCAAAGTTCATTTACTGAATTTTTCTTTCTATTGCTGCTTTCTTGGTTTCTGGGTTTTATATATAGCAGTTGAAATGCTGATTTTCTCTGCTTTGAATTGGGAAAATTCAAGCTATTTAGTATTTCCGCAATTATTGTCTTTGTTTGTCTTTTCATATACTGGTGTTCATTTAATCTTCATTCGACAATGCTTTATCGAAGTTTCATCCCTGAAATACACTTGTTCCTATACATATTGGGTATGATTATGATCCTCCGAGTAAATGAAGAAACTGAAAAAAAATGAGAGAACTCTTGTCAGGCGAACTCACACTCGAACATCCATCCGTAGTCGTAGTAGTAGCTTGAAGGTTTATTTGTGTACTTTTGTTGGTAATAAAATATATGGTTTCTTCTTGATTATACTCTTGCAGGATGATGACAGCTTAAGAAGATGGAAGGAGAAGCTTCTTGGTTGTGTTGAAGGAGACCTAAATGGTATCTGTTCTCTGCTTTTATGCAATGTTTCTTGATTTTATTGCTATTTTTATGTTAAATGTTCTTTTTTCCCCCTGATTTGATAGGCCAAATGGAACCTGAAGTCAAATTCCACTCCATGGGAATTATTTCTAATGACCTTGAGGAAGTTTCTCATCCATTGCCATTGGATTCAAATCGTGAAGGCCTTGTTTTGTTTACTCTCAAGGAAGGATCTCGATATCAGCTTAAGTTAACATTCAGCGTTCTGCACAACATTGTTTCTGGCTTAACCTACTCCAACACCGTGTGGAAGGCGGGACTAAAAGGTAAAAGAACATCTTTTTCTTTTTCTTTTTCCATTGAAGCTGCATTAATTATGTTCCTAACATGGTAATCGCAGCCAACGGTGTATTATGTCTGCACGACTTAAATTTGACACCGGACTTGGCAAATTGGCATTAGTGGGTGGTTGAGTATTCTACAGTCTGATTTGATTGCTTTTGAGTGGCGAGTCTTATACGTGTTGTACTCTGAAATTGTTTTCCTTTAGCAGAAGCATTAGAAAATGTTGAAGCTCTTGATAAGCTTTACTAGCAGGCATAAACTCTTCTGATTGTGCTTTTTATTGTGGGTGAGGGCCTATATTTTAATTTACTGCTTTTTGTTTTGTTTTTGTCAGTTGATCAAAACAAAGGAATGCTGGGTACCTTTGCTCCTCAACGAGAACCGTACGTACACATTTTGGATGAAGAGACTACACCGTCTGGGGTTCTGGCAAGGGGAATTTATTCCGCAAATCTTAAGGTATGTATGTATGTACGACTATGAATGGAAGGCTTCATGCATGCCTTCACCCCGAAGTTAATGACTAACTGCACATATAAAGCAAGATTATGTTATTATGTTTAGCAACAGATTCTTTTCTCAACACATTTCCTTCATATTGATCGTCAGTTACCTTGGTTGAATTTCGTGCAACATCGATAAATTAATCTTCCCAAGGTTTTAATATTCAGAACATGCAATATCCTTGTCTTTTGAAAACTTTACTCGCAGAAACCGTTATTCTCTGTCAAGTATGAAATAGTAAGCATTTGATTAAAGCATCTGAAAGTGTAGCACTAGTATTGCATTTTCTGGTTTTGCAATAATGATTGTACCTAATTTTATATGCTTCGATGCAGTTCGAAGACGATGACCGAAGATGTCACATGGAACTCAAATATGCCTTCGAGATAAAGAAGAGCATCTAGCTGAGTTTTTGTAGTGTTTTGTCTCCTGTTCTCTCCCTATAGCTTGTTTTTCTGGGTTATGAACTACATACATTGCTTGTGGGAGTTATCGATTTGATATCTATGTTGATTTTTGTGTCCCAACAATTCTACTAAAGTACTCAAAAACTAGTCCCTGGAATTTCCCTTGCATTGCTCTCCTTGCTATGACTTGGTAATCGCGATCAAACCAGCTATAGATGGCTCGTTGGCAGAAGAGGGTCGACCACTTGTTGATCATTGGCTATTCAAACGTATAAGATCTGTTGGTAATAAGTACTGCTGTAAAATAAACACGTATCGAAAAATAAATAAATAGATTTATTATATCGTAAAAATCATTAATTTAGGAGTAATTTTATCATGATTGGTGTAATTGTGAAATCGACGTCGTATAATATTTTCACATAAGCAACGAAATGAGTGATCAACGACGAGCTTAATTTAATAAAAAAATAATATTAATAAAATATCAATTAATGTTTAAGTGACTTAAATATAAATAAAATAAGTCATGATATCATGACGAAATGAGTGATCAACGAAGAGCTTAATTCAACAAAAAAATAAAAAAAATATTAATAAAATATCAATTAATGTTTAAGTGACTCAAATATAAATAAAATAAGTCATGATATCATGACATTTGTGATTTAACGATAGATTGACAAGAGAGTATTTAATCGTCAAAGTTGAGTAATTAAAATAGAATTTTATAAAGTTGAACGGTTAAAATAGAAATAAAGTCAAATTTGAGTGATGAAATTCATAGTTTACACTTCTTTTTAGGCTAAATGTCAAAAATAACCCTCAAAATTTATTAAAATGGTTATTTTAGTCCCTATTTTTTTAGAGCATTCTGGTTCTAACGTTTCATTTTGGAGCAAAAAGCTCCCTATATAGATAAAAATCATTAGTTAACACACAATTAATACCCTAAAATAAAATCATTTTTAACCTAAAATACAATGTTGAGGACTAAAATACCCTAGGAAAAAAAGAATAAAAGATTTGTCAAATGCTTAGGTGGGAAAAAAGAATAAAAGATTTGTCAAATGCTTAGGTCATTTTTGCCTTAAAATAGAATGTTTGGGCAAAATGCTCCTAAAAATAAAATATAGAGTAAAATGATAATTTTGATAAAAGTTAAAGACTAACTTTGACATTATTTTTATTATTGAAAACGACGTACGTCTAAAATTAAGAGGAGGTAAATTATGTCAATAGTTTCTTTTATTGGGTTCGAAGAAGAAGAATAAACAGTGTGGAGAAAGAGAAGAAAAAGAAGAATATCGACGAGGATTTTTTTTTAAAAAAAAATTTGATTGTCACATAACACTTCTGTTGAGGGTTAACGGGAGAGTTGCATGCCAATTTATATATGGGCGCCGAAAACAAAGAAAAAATAGTGGCATACGAAGCTTAAAGTGGTGAAGAATTCGAAGCTGGTTCTTCCGCATCACAATGACCACAAAACGACGTCACGAAGCTCAAAGCTCCATACTTCTATCAATCTTTGCGACGACTTCTATCTTCTTCACACCATTTGGAATTGAAATCGTGTTTCCTTTGACAGTAAAACAATTTCCATGGAATCCTCTTCAACCTCTACCACCAGATCCCGGTTCCAAGACCAAAATCGACAGACGATGGAGGACGCTGCTGATTCCGAAACCAGCTCTGGCAACATGTGTAACCCCCTCAGACCGATACGGGTAATCCGATCCGATCTGGAGTGTCACAATAGGGCCACCGGAGTGACCCACTGTAAAAATAGCAGAAAATTTAAAACTTTTATTAAAACATGCAACTTATAAAATGATTTAACAGTATGCAGAAATAAAACAGATTTTCAGACTCGTATATAAAACAAAATACAATTACATGCCCCCTAATCACATGTACCATGCTCTGCAACAACGCCGGAAAAACTCCCTTACTGAAATCGATAGCTGTACCGGTATAATTCTTTTAACCTGCAAAGGTGAGTAATAGAGTGAGCTTTGGAAAGCTCAGTAATACAGAACTACCAGATGTTGCTGAAGAACGTGCAGATACAGATAAACATATATTTTCTTATTGTTTCAGATATCTACGGATTTTTAGACTGAGCTGAGGTCCCATTGATATTTCAGGTAATAACAAATAATATTCAGTTCAGATGGAAAATATTTGGGATGTTTAGGTTCAAGAAATCAGAATAGGTTTTCTAGTGTGTTCCCACAAAACCATGTAACTTTTAAGATCTTTTTAAAACATATTTTTTTAAATATGAACACTACCCTCATCTGTCACAAACAAAATGTGTAGGTTCCCCAGAACCATACAACCCCGTCACGTCCAGTAAGGCCCTGAGCACAAAGCTGAGGAGCCTGACTCCAACAATACCCCCAAATAAAACATGTTCCGTCCGTAAACGGATCTATCAAAATCAAAACATAATTTAGGTCAAGTATCATATCAGAATTCATGTCAAGTATCGGATCAGAATCCAGGTCAAGTATCAGATTAGAATCTATGTCATGTATCATAACAAAATTCAAATCAGAAATAAGATAAAATATTCAAGTGATTAGGGAACACACCAGAGTTTACAGATATTATTTAGAGGTACTGGATAATTTTGGCAAGCAGAGAAACACAAATCTTCAGTATACCGATAGAATATCGGAATTTAGAATCACTATTGGAAGAATTCAATAACTGAAAAATCATCAATTATTCAGAATGAGACTTGAGCTGATAAGGAAGAAATGAAGGTTCAGGATATTTACAATCTATGTCGATTGATCAGATTATCGAACAACTCTTAGATGGATAGTTCCCATAACTAATACTAGTCGACTGGTCAATTCATTGTCCTTCCAGGGTATTTACTCTTTAATACCAAAAATTCTTGTCCATTGATCATCTTCAGAATCATCGACGAATAAATCTTCAAATGGTCTTTTTTTCATTACCACGTTTTAACGATACCATAAAATGCTGACGTGCTTGAGTTGTAGTCCATGGCCCATAAGGATAGTACATCATGTAAGTTCATTAGCATTCCCAGACTCATCCAAATCACTTATTTAATCCACAATCATTGAAGTTACTTATTTCATTTAACAGTCAAGTCCATTTCTTTTACTTCGGGTTTCCAGAATAATTCATACGTTTCTGAATTTCTGATACATATTGTACTTCTGTTTAGTTTAATTTGGTCTTTGTGGTTTACTTGTCCAACAAATATCCAATTCTTAGTACTGAATGTGATCTAGAATTGAGTTGAGCTGAATACTTCCAAAATTATCATCGAACCAAACTTGAGAAGACGAACACACATTCAAATGATACCTATGCCATTCAGGTACTAACATATCATTAGCGTTAGTCAACTCACTTAAACTGAATTCTATAACTTTTAAGGGTAGTTCAACACCCATGTTTATTTGGATTCCTTAATTAATCCAAAACATTTACTTAGTGTAAACCATAAGGACATTTTGGTCATTTTGGTGCTCAATGTTTTTCCATTCATTTCAAAGCTTGAGGATATCTATTCATTCCTGAGCTTGGTGATATTCTTTAGTCATTTCCATTATAGAGGTATTTTGGTCATTTTACAGATCCAATGTATTTTAATTATTTCCTTCTATCCTATCTTATTATTTAATTTAATCTTATCACTTACTTCAGTCCTTTCAAACAATTCTGACCTAAGAGCACCGTCGATAGATCATTTTTTAGGTATTTACTCATAACTCGGAGATTTTCGGGTCGATAGCTTTCTCAAATTTTTCAAATAGAATATCAGAAATTTCTTGGACAAAGACATGATCTTAACAATTAAATCCGTAATTGATCGGGTTAAGAACGAAATCTCATGGTACTTTCTCATTCAGGGTCAACTCGGACAATTTTTACTTCTCAAGGGCATTTTCGTAATTTCTTAACCAAATAATTTCGGTATTTTCTCTTAACATAAATAATTATAATTTAATGATCTTATGGTTAATTGCTTTCTCGAACATTCTCTAATCTTGAAATATTTCTTTAACAAACTTCTAATATCTTGCATAAACCCTCTTGGGGTTAAAAATCAATTATCCAAATTTTCTAAGCAAAACTAGCATTTCTTATGCACATTTGTAAATTTATCAGATCAATATGCCTTTTCAGAGTTATTAATCAACTTCTAGGGATAATTCTTATCATTATACAACATAAGGGCATTTTCGTAATTTATCACTTAAACCGTATTCGGTTCGAATCCATACATAATCAAACAGGCATAATAGGTCAATCATATATATATCAATGCATTTATCTATTATCAACATGTTCCATAAAGCATAAAAAGGTATTAATATATTACCTCGATTTCTGTGCAATACTAATCGACCATTAAATTCCATTCGAACGTCCTCGATCCTTAATTAAACTTCCAATAATTTCTCAAATACATAACAATATAAATTTCATCAAAAACGAGACTTAATTCTGAAAAATGGATCGAATCGGATGATAAATAAGTGAAAATAGCTTATCAGGTTTAAATTTGCTCAATACATCGAAAAACATAAGAGTATGTAATATCCTCAATACCGGGTTAGTGATCAAATTGTAAAGTTTCAGAATTTGATGACTAAAGTAGAAGAATGAAATAGTTCAATGATTATTTGAATATATATTGAAGGTTATTTAGTAATTATTAAAGGAAATTAAGGGTTAAATGGTCATTTGACCAGAAAGATTTTTATATTTCTTTTTAAGGTAATATAAACGTGGGAATTTGGAGAAACATCCAGAGTTCTCTTCTCCTTTCTTCTTCTTCATACGTGGGAGAGCAAGGCAAAGGTGAGAGTTTTATTAGTTGATTATTATTTGAATTTTAAGTTTGGTTTTGATTCTTTGGGTATTAAATAAGCTTAAGGAAAGCTTATATGTGATTTAAACAATAAGATAAAGGAATTATGAAGGAATTTGCAATATGAGTTTTAAGATGAAATTTTGATATGGTATGGTTGTTGAAGTTTTATGGATGAATTTGACTTGTCATCAATCTAATTAAGAAGTATGAAGTGTTAGAATTGGAATTAGAACACATTGAAAATTTGGTATGATTTTTGAATC